AACAGTAAATTCGTCTCCTTGTAATTTCCGACAGAGGAAGTCTAGAACTCAAAACTCTGAACACAGCCACAAGAATACCCGCCCGGGCACCAAATGAGCCACCAAAATAAAGATTAAAATCAACAGCAAGCTCACTTAGCCTAAAACAAAAATCCAGGTTATATCTCCTCCCAACTTAAAACTAATCTATACTAAATAAATTAAATTTTCTCTTTATATGACACCTTATAAATATAAGGATCAGTCACGAAACAAAACTAAAGTAAGTCTTTAAAGCTAAAGGCGACGGACGCTCACTGATCACCGGACTTAGGACTGGCAGACGAACCACCCCAAGGAAGAAAAAGGAACCCCCAAATCTCTACCGGCCGAAGGATATGATATGACTTGAGTAGAGGAAATCTGACGTCTATATCTGAACAAAAACACGTCCAAGATCTTAGGGGAATTTTTGGAAATAGTAGACACCTATAGAAGAACAAGTCACTCCATGTAAAAGCAGGTAGCAGGATTTTCACAGACATTCAAACTCCAGCGTCTATACTTGAGCCCAGGGTAACAGAACAACTAGCCCCACCCTAAGGACAACTTTCTAAAGGAACTCAAAAGCCAACAGACCACAGCTGAGCCATACAGAACTCCCTAGCAGGCGAGGTGTCTCCGAACAAAGGTATACGTGAGACCAGAACCCCTAATAAGAGATCAACAGACAACGTAACAAACAATAAACCGAGGAATCCAAGGTCTAGGGAACCCCAAGAACCCTAACAACTCCAAGAATTTCATGGCTATGGAATCAGAAATAATGACCTCAGACTATAGATCAGGCGAATGACCCAAGGCCTGAAAACTCCAGATAACCCTGATAAGCGAACCACCGAACAAATGAAGCAGCCGGGCGGCGAATGACAGACGTCGGAACAGGCCCAAAGAAATAAATGGCCAGAAGGAAAAGTCAGAGATTCCCTTTGAAAGTCCAAAGACGCAGCACCCAACTGCTATAGGGGACAAAACGAAAAATAGAGAAAAATATGCCAACTAACGGATCAATGGAACATCTCCAGGAAGGTAACCAATCACACATACTATGGATATGGAAACTGGAAAATTTTAAGAACTCAACCACGGAGAATAAGGAGTGATGAAGGGAAGAGCAAATTCCATTCCAACGGCCGAGGGGGAAAAGTGAATGACGATCAGAATTGTACTCCTGATGAATTCAGAGACAGACCAACCAATTCTGAACATGAAAAAAAGATCCCCTGTTACAACAGTGGACGTAACAAAGGGAGCGAAAATCCAAGTATTCCAAGTAACAGAAGTAATAGTAAGGAGCAGAAAGTATCTAAACCGCAAAAGTACACTAGGCACATCATTGAACTCCTAGGCGACTAAGAAGTTTAATAGTGACTAACCAGGAAAAGCAAGTCCCTAGGAGTAAGAAAGAGTCAACGACAGGACCTAAGCCACATGAGAAAACGACTCGTGAGGTATCTAGACTGTCTTGACTAAGAGAAGCGGACACAACCCGACTACCCAAACAGCGGAAGAAATCCAACTCCGGGAAGAATTCACTAAGAGTAACCCACAACTCCCGAAGCACAAGGTGAACTAAACCAAGGAACCCTAAGGAACGGAGGGGGAGAATCAACGGAGAAAGCCAGAAAAGGACGAGTGAAGGTTTAACGCAAAGAAAAAGTCAAAGCACCATGACACCACGTAAACTTAACAACCGAGAGCCGTAGGAAAAAGAATTGAGACCGAATAAACCGAATCAATCTGGAGGGAGGCATGGCAAAGGACGTCTCTGAAGAGTAAGAGATTCTGAAGTAGTGGGTTCAGAACGAGTAGGAGCTGAATATAAAGAATAACTCTAAAGGAAAAAGAGAAAAAGTGATTAAATATAAAAGGATAACAAGCGCTTGCAGGATGCCGGGAGCGGACAGGAGGAGCTTCTGGGCAGCAGTATTACAGCAACCAAAAGAAAGACTTCAGGTGGAAAAAAGGACGGAAAGATCTCAGTATACAAAAGGAAGTGTAAATATATTTAAAAAAGGAGGACTCCAGGGAGAGTTAAGGGTAATATGGCAGGTAGGAGCATCCAACCACCAAAACGAGGAAAAGAAAATTGACCGAAATGAGAGGAAAGGGGAGCGGACACCCCCTGCATAATGGCGCAAACAAGAATAAACAAAGAAATTATGGAGAAGGCCAAACGAAAAAGAGTGAGGAAAAGTATGAACTGAGGAGGAAGAATACAGAAGGGGAAACTGCCCAGCAGTAATCGCAGAGGGGCGAACACACCTAAAGACCAGAATAACCACCAGCCAAGACGGGGAACACTCTATCAGGATAAAGATAAAAGAAAGCTCAGTCGCTGTAAAGGATAAACAAGGGCGGGTAATTCATCTCAGTAAATGATCACGAGGAATTGCTTGGACAGGCAAGGATTTGAAGTATGTTGATCCAACCACTAGCAGAGAGGAGGGAAGGATCTCTCCCGAGCCAAAAAGGAACGGTAAAATGAGACGGGAGTATTCCTGAGCTGCAAGTTTCCGAAGGAGACGGACAAGGTTTAGCGCTCTATATTGACAGATGAAAGGAGTGAGTAATAAAATATGAGAAGGCCACCGTGAAAGGAGATTGACGGCCTGAGAGTACAGGAACTCAAAAATAACACTAAGCGTAGGCTGACCTAACAACCCCAGAGGAAGAATTGACAGGTTTCATGCAACCAAAGAGGGAAGAATCAGGTAATACTAGGAACCTCAACCCCAAATGTTGGCCAGGGCGGGACACCAGTCTGGAAAGCCTCAAAAGTCACCCGCGAGACGGAACGACCACTAAGGACTCCCGAGTGCATAAACGAACATTGAGGTGGTGGAGACAGTAGAACAGAGGAAGGACTGAACCGGAAAAATCCAATCGTGGACAAACAACACGCCCAAATAACCGAAGCGGCCTCCGGAGTATCATCCCTCCCGTAAATAAAAGCCAGAGATTCTAAGGAAGGCGGGCAGCAGCTCACAAAGGAGTGAAGAGACAACAAGCCGACAAATCCAAGACCAATAGGAATAGAGGAAAACACTGAGAAGAAAGGAACCCAAGTCGGAGAAGGGGGCGGAATCCCAATAGTGGACAAGAAAAGAAAGTAATTATCTTACGTGGATATGAAGGGCCCACCTGAATATAACGAAGAAGAGCACGACATAGGGCCCGACCGAGTTAGGGATTGTCTCGAGGAGGAGATGACAAAGATTCCGACCCCCGTGACTGGAGAAGGAAGAAAAAGATGCAAAATCAACATGACGAAGGAACAAGAGAAGAGGCCGAGCCAGAAGACTGAGAATAGGCCCAGAGTAGCTTAAGCGTACACCAGATGGGATCTCTATACACGTAACCCCTAAAACAAATTCCAACACAACAAACCCAGGAGGGCGAGGACAACGGAGACTCCAAACGAAGAGCCTAAGGACGAATTAGGAGGGCTCCAGAGTGATAGGATGCATCAGGTTAAGAAGAGGGAGGAGGACCCCACAGCGACAAGATAGTATGAGTAGTCTCAGGTGACTTGGGGAGTATAGCAATTTCAATGGGATTATTAAGTGTCCCTCCCAAGGGAACCGACTCTCGAATAATCGGAAGAATCCAACCGCGGATAGAGACAACAAATAGGATAAATACCCTCATTATTCCAAGGGTAGGACCCAAAGACGGACCTTCAAGTCAGGGTAGGAAGTGACCCCTAAAATCGACAAGAGGCCTACTAGGTGAGTACGCGGAACAACAGGAGGGGCACAACAAAACAGGGCCTATAGGGGAACAACGGAGGAGAGTGGACGGAGGGGGGTTGGCATGGGAAGAATAACCCGAGGAGGGGGGAAACGGAGGCCGAGGGTGACAACAACATAGTGATCGCGGGAGCTCGAAGGTTCCGGATTAGGTGAGAAAGGGCCACCCCGGACCGGAGTTAAGGAGGTCCCTAAGGGGAGGTCAAGAGACAAACGAATCAAAGGATGGTGTGAAAGAGGAGCCGGGGACCCAAGGGGAAAGAGTCGGGATACGCAATGGCGAAATCGAACGAGCACGAGCCAGTGTTTCAGCGAGAAAGGAAGTCAGGAGACGGAGACCGACACGGGGGGGAAGAAACGGGGGATATTAGATAGGATTTGAAGGATCAGGAGACCGGGGCAATAGTCACAAGAGAAAGGGAGGTCCGACGAAAGCCAACGAAGGAGGAGTGCAGCAGGGAGCGAACCGGAAACCCAGGAGGAGGAGGAGGGAGAAAACGGAGAGTTTAGGAATCGGGATAGAGGAGGTATATATGGGCCTCTGGGGGAGGGCCATGCAAGTCAGAGAACAAGAGGCACGTATAAGAAGGGTCCTCAGGGAATTCCAGGAAAATAGAGGGGAGGGCAGATCTCAGTCTATGAACAGGGTTATAGGCCTAGGGGAGGAGCTGAACCGACAAACACAGCCAAAGAAGCGGGTAATAAAACCCAGGGAGGAGAAAGTGGTTATTCCAGCGAAACAGGATCTGTGACACGGGATTTCGGAGCACTCCCCAACAGCGAAGGACGACATCAAAAAAGGAGAGACAACAGAAGAGAAAGTAGGATAAAGCAAGGGAGTTTAGGAGGGTATTGAAGATGAGTTTGAAGTGGCTGGGCATAGTGAGGGATAAGACGGTGCCAACGGAAGGTTGTACCATAGGGACTACTACGAGGTATTGTTATGCTTACCCAACAAGTGGAGGAGGCGCATGTTCCCGGACGGGGGCAGGTATTGGAAGGTGGATGGATAACCATGTCCCAACAGGCGCAGTGTATAGTGAATTATCCAAGGGGTATAGAGCCAATGGGATAAAACCAAAAGAAGGCCAAGAGGCAGTCGAGTGGGGGCAGCTACTGGATGGTGTCCTGAAGGAGAGTATAGGGAGCGCATATGATGAGTCTTCAAACGAATATCAAGACGACCGGTACCTGAAGTTACCGACAAGGAGGATGTGGAAGGGTTTGATGGATGCAGATAACACAGGGCGCTGTAAGGACAACGCGGGCTGCCAGAAGATGTTATATTTTATAGGCTGTTTAGTTTACAGTCTCTTAGCACCCGAAGAAAGGATTATAGACAACTCATCAGAATCATATCTCGGGTGCCAGAGGATATTGAACAAACTCTTAAAAGAAACAACACCAACGAAACTGGAAACAGTCGAAGGACAGTACTATTGGGGTGGTGAGAAATATATGTGCCAAATGAGTACAGGATTCAGGCAGTGTAAAATAGAGGTTCTTAGTTTCCTTATTGGGGTAAGTAAAACGTTGAGGAAGTTATGTCCCCAGTGTAAACAAACGGATCTGAGAGCTCAGTTGACTGAGCACCTAAATTGCGGGAAGGACCAGGGGATATACTGTCCAGAAAACAGACAGGGGGGTAATATAAGGTGCCGAGCGGCAAGTGAACTTCCCAAGCCTGACTTAGAATGGATCATACCCCCCGAAATCACCAAGAAGCCCGTCACTGAAGCAGCCCCGGGGACAGCTACATCGAAGAACGAAATTAAGAGAGAACAAGAGGGAAAGGAAAATGTCCACTCCCAAACAGGTGCCCAGATCGAGACTGCACGCGAAATGGTCAGACACTCCACAGAAAACTCAAAGGAGGAGGAGGGAGAGGGAAGCAAGTCGAAGGAAGGACTTTCGCCCAAGGAAGTGGGAAAAGAGTCTCAAGAAAAGGAGGCGGAGAACACCCAAAAAGAACACGGGCCGAAGGAGAACCCTCAGGAGATAGCACCAGCCGAAGAAAGAGCCCACCCAACAAAATCGGGGGAGGTAACTATACTTGACCATCACCCAGAGGCATCCCTCGAGGAGGCAGGAGCTCCGGAGATGTCAGTTGACTCTGGGGTGGTTGGGGAGGGAATCCGTGGCAGTACGGGAAATTCCAAGGAACCGGAGGAGGGAAACAAACCGACGGAGATATGGAAGGGTGTGGCAGTATCTATAGGGCTCATTGCTATGGTAGTGTCTGTAGGATATGGTGGTTATAGGATCTATGGATGCAATTCTAAGGAGCCGAACTCCCGAGAACGAATGAAATCGAAGAAATTTGTGGGCTATCTACGGAATACATAGGAGGAAGGGCTCGTCATCCGAGGAAACCGGACATAGACTTCCGGGGAACATCGGGAAGAGACAGAATGTACAGGAGACGGGACGCCCTAAGCTGCGCTTCGCCTCTCAACAGAGAGAGGGGAAGAAAGAGGCCAGTGGAGGGATACAGCCTGAAAGATAAGGCCATGAGTCCCAGCAGAGGATTACGAGGGGTTTAGTTGTATGAGATGATGATTCCAAGGAAGATCTGCAGCACTTAGGATGAGCGGGTAAACCCAGAAACACATTTCTACCAGGAGCGGGTGTCCCAGGACCAACTGATGACCTGACTCCTTAGATGAGGAAAAAATCCAGGGGCGGACCAAACATAACCTTAACCTAGAGTTGGGAGATATGAAGGATGGCAGTTATAAGGTGCGAGGATCCCCTTCAGAAGGATATAAAGGGACGGGAGCGCCTAATCAGCAGGACTCAGCCTAACCACCCCGGGGTTTCCTGTGGAAAGTACACAACTCCATAATTCGAAATAGTAGTCTGGAAGAGACGGTTCACGTTTGATAAATGGGCGACTTTCAAGTCAGAATTTCGCGTATGGGCTAGATATGGTATATCTCAGGGTAAGTTAATTATTACGAAAACTAATTTTAAGATTAGGACGAAGAAACCCCCGGAAGGAAGCCCCGAAAGACAAAACGGAATGATCAGCATGCTTGTTCGTTAACTCCGGGGAGGAAAATTCCAGCAGCAGAAGTGTTGCGAAGTTTGGGTCTATTTTCTGTGGAACTAAAGGTCGGGGCAAGTGAAGAATAATAAGTAACTGACAGCATCATGACGGCATCTGAAACACGTAGTAGAAGGAGCGAAACTCGGAGAGTTTCTGATATGGACGAGTGAAGGGAAGAGTTCGGAAAGGAGATGCAGAGGTTGAGTTTTCACTGGGGTTCGGAGTTTATGGGACTTCTCTACATCTTACCGTGGGGGCCTAACAGTCCTGAATTCCGGTTTGTGCTTAGAGAGTATTCGGCTTATATTTCAGGGTCCGAGTTTTAGAGGTGATCGTTGAGATTTGGGGGTTGTGACTTTAGTGTTTAGTCCTCTAGCGTTTCGGTTAAGAATTCAGGGATTCGTGGTTGGCGGGCTGGGTTTAGGGTTCGGGATTCAGGGTTTATTGTTCCAGGGTTTAACATTTAGCGTTTTTCGTACTGGGGTCGGGGGTCCAGGGTTCAGGGTTATGCTCTTGGCCTTAGAGATGGGGTTGGCCAGCTTCGGATGTAGTTTCGGGTTCTAGTCTCTAGATTTCGGATTCAGGAAATACGTCTAGGTTCCAGGTTTAGTTTTAAGGATTTAGGCTTCTTGATTTGAATTTCAAGTTCCGGGGTCCTCAGATTATGGGCTACGGTTTTGGGGTTAGGGGTCAGTGTGGGTCAGGTTTTAGTGTGTAGTGTCCAGGCTTTACGATTCATGGAGTAAGGCTCACGGTTCAGGGTTTAGTGTCCAGGCTTTTGTCTTAAGGGTCTACGTTTTTGTCCTTTGGGTTCAGGGGTGTGGGCTCAGTGTTCAGGTTTTAGGGTTCAGGATTTGGGGTTTAGTCTCTTAGTTCTCCGGTGTCAGGGTCTAGGTTTAGGGTTTAGGCTTTAGGTCTCAGGGTTCTGGTTTTAGGCTTTTAGTTGTTAGATTCCAGGTTGTAGGTCCCACGGCTTAAGGTTCAGGGTTCCTCTTTTAGGCCTTAGTCTGGACGGTCTAGGCTTTAGTTTCTTGGAGTTATGTTTCAGGTATAGGGGTCCAGGCGTCAGGGGTCAGACTTCACGTTTTTATTGTTTCTGTTTTCAGGGGTTATGGTTTAGGGTTGATGGATTGGGGTTCATGGGTTAGGGCTCAGTCTTCAGGGGGTAGGGGTCAGGATTCAGGGGTTCAGGGTTTAGGGTCCAGGGTTTAGGGTTTAGGGTGTAGGGGTTAGGGTTCAGCGTTTAGGGTTTATTCTTTAGGGTGTTAGTGATTAGGGACTGTTGGTGAGGGTTGAAGATTTAGGTTTAGTTTTTGGGTTTATTGCCCAGGCTTCATGGGATCAGGTTTCCGTTTTTTGTTTTAGGGTTCAGGGGGTAGTGATTAGGGGTCAGTGTTCAGGTTCTAGGGTTTATTTTTTATTACCTGGGGTTTAGGGTGTAGGATTTCCCTTTTAGGATTTAGGATTCAGGGGTTAGGGATTCCGGGTTTATGGTTTAGGCGTTAGGGGTCCCGATGCTGGGTTCATATTTCTTGCTTTTTCTTTTAGGGTTTAGGGTTAGATCTAGGGTTACTCCTTTGGGTTTACGTTTCCTGGTTTTAGGGTTTAGGTTCTAGGATCTAGGGTTCATTTTTCAGTCTCTAGCGCTTAGTCATGATCTGTTGATTCTGTGGTTCAGGATCTTTGTTTAAATTCCTTTTATGGGTCACCTTTAGGATCTTGGCGTTAATTCTTAGGGTCCATTTGTTGTCGATTAAGGCTTAGCTTTATTTCATCGGGGTTTCGCTTCTTAGTCTTCTTATCGATCTTCCACGCCCTACGGCTTATGATATATTCGTGAGTTGCTTGGCGTTAATCTTTCCGCCACAGGTTACTGTTGTTTTGGGGTTATTATTCACTCCTCATGATTTAGGATATTGCTCCTACTTGTATTTGATTCTTCTTGTCGCGGTAGCTTTTTACGTTTATGCTTGTTTGTTTAGCTAGTCTTCAGTTCTCATTTTATTGGGGGGAGTCGAATGTTATATATAACCTGGGGATTTAGTGCCAATCTATAAAATAACTAACAATACTCTAAGACTCAGAGATGGGTAAGGCATTGTACCAGGCATATTCCGGTGAATGAAGATGAATTTAGTGACTTATTAAACGAAATCATAATTAGAGTTTTTTAATATTGGACATAATAGTGGGATGGCTTAAAAAAAAAAGATAAGATAAAGGGACTACATATTGTTTTTATAATTCCTGCTTGGGTATTTTTTAAATAACCAGGATGAATCTCTGCGGTTATTGAAATACAAGTATATCCTATTTTGCTTGGATGATTGCTCCTGATTATATACAGAGATTTCTTACATTCTTGTTCCATAATGGCTAGGATATTCTAGGGAGGATCACTTCCTCCTTTATTCAATAGGACTATTTTGTAAATCACATGCAGTTAGTAGAATACCTTTATGTTCAATGAAATATTATTTATACATAAAGGACCCTTTTGTCTCATTCTTCTTCGTATTCTTTGATTTCTCTCTCTTCTTCCTTCAATTTCTCTTTTTTTTTAGAGATAATTGTTCTTGTAGTATTAACTCTGGGGACCTGAGGATTTTTACATAAGCGGTAGATGAAAATCCAACAGGATTACTCTACAGGGACAGGAATGGTAGATACCTGTCTCTCCACAGTTGGTACAAAGAGACTTTCTTGGTATATAAGAGAAGATTTTATTGCTTCCTTTTTTTACTTTTTGTGCACATATTGGTTCATATATATTAGCTGTACTTATATATATAGGGAAACCCCCCTGCCCCCACTTGGTGTTTCTCTATTGAGAGCAGTTTACTTGGGATATTGCACTTTCTCAGAAGCCCTTTATTACTTCCTTTCTGCTGGAATCCTTGTGTGTGGACGGTTTGCATAGCCACCTGATTGGCTATTTCCGACCTTTTACCACTGACTGAATTAACCGATTAATGCGTCCACTTAACATCAATGCGACAGATTTCACAGCACGAAGCTGTTATTTTCATCATAATCTTAAGTTTCGCCCACTTAACGAAGCCAGGGGCGCCAGACAAATGAATCTTGCAAAAAAAAATACCCCAGGATTCTATATGCCTGCTTTCTTATTGGTTTCAAAGGAAAGATATAGAAAAATACGGCCTAGATTGGTGCCATTAACAGATAAATATGGATTCATTGGATTAATTAATATATCTCTGATGAGGACACCAGGGGAATAAGTTCTCAATCTCCAATATTTGTTGATACAAGGATATTGCAAGGAAAAATGCGGGTGAAGCGACTATATATTGAGAGGTAGTGTTGAATATACTATGTCCATTTTTCTACATCGGCAGTGAGATATGGGATATTTTCCTGGCTAAGGATTCGGAAGAGTTATCCTTAAACTGTTGGTTCCCTGTCTCTTAATATTCCCTGGGTTGCGTTAGGAAGAAATAGGAGGCTTCCCTCATCTTAAATTACTCTTCCTGCTCCCGGTTCCAATTTAAGTTGAGAACCGGGCTTAGGAAGTAATAACCTCCTGAGGTCCGCACTCGGATGTTATAATATCTGCTCTCTAATAGATCACACAATCCTTGCGCTCTTAGCCCCTTTTTTTCTACAAATTGTTTGATATTTTCCATTTGTCCCTGAATCAATCTAATTAATAGGACAGGTTACGGCAACATGTTGTTTATGATCTAAGAAGTCATTTTTGAGTATATAGGTTTGATATTTCTGTAAGGAAGAAACAGACACCAAAGAACAGAAAAAAAGAAGGATAACACGCCGGCATCTTGGATGCTGTTCCCACGATCGCGTGTTATTTGTTGTAACACCTCTAACAATGACTGGTGGGGGACGCATACGAATCAAATCAGATATATTGAGGAGAAATTATAATGATGTAACAGATATTTATGCAGCCATATGAGAATCATTCCTGATTAGAATATTGTTGTATTAATGCATCTAATGTCAGAATTCTTATAATACTTGTTTACACCCTCATCCCTTTGTTCATCTGTTGTAACACAGAATAGAAAAAATACATAAGAAGAGGAATGGAAGGTCACAGTGCTGAATGCAAACAAATGAATTAAAAAATCGTCCTTGAGGTTACTAAAACGGAGATTAAAAAGAAAGTCACATGTCCCCTCTAATATCAATCTCGTGAGAAAAGATAAAATATATGGAGATTGAGCAGCACGGAGGCAAAAAAGAAGTTAAAACAGAAACAGAGCGTCTGACACACATGAAACAAGGCATATAATAATTCCAATGATAACCCCTCATAGAAATCCCTCCTGAATTCTCCTGATCTGTACCTTTAAAGACAGCAGAATTCTCCTTCTTAGAAGCTAATAAAATGCGACCAGTGAGTTTCCTTTTGGTAGACATGAAACATACTCCTGATCAGCTTTAGGAAAGTAGACGCCAGAGAAAAGAAAAAGACACTTGTCGTCATGACAAGAATAAATTATATAGCCATTTCAGCTTCGTATACCAGACTCTCATTCCAGGAGATGTATTCGTGTTAAGTTATGAAGCATCCATATAGCTATATAGGTTTGCAGCATTCTGAAGATATCCAAAATACCCATAAGAAGGGAGTTGTTTACTTATAATTTTACCTACAACAGGAACGGCTCTATGACCATCATATTAAAATAAAACTGAAAGAAGGGACTTAGGCAAGGAAAGATACCAGGTTACGATACGAGACACAGTGGGAATGTGATGTAGATAGCACGATAAGAAAAAAAACGGGACTAATTGTTCAATTTCCAAAGGGGTTATGGGAGTTACCATCCCCCTTCAGGGATGGAGAAGCCCCGCTATCATTACAACATAGCATCCAATAATCATCAGTTACTTTGCTGGAACAAGGTGCCGAGATCTTGTCTCACCTCTATTTCTCTACGTCTCTTATACAATCTTTAAAACAACCATTAATGATACCGTGGAATGTTTGTCCATATTCGGATACTTTCAGAAGCACATAGAGATATCCTATGACGCCTAAGACAAGGAGTCCATAAGATACAGAAAGGAGAACTGTCAATGGGATGCCTACTAATAACGGTAATACTTCCAGTGTGAATGAAACCAGCATCGGTAAAAGGAGCATCAGACGATATACTTCAATCCCCACTAGCCAGTACTCACTCCTCCTAATATGCGCATGGTTTTTACCCCTCCTTACGGAATTGTATGTCTTATATTATAAGGACGAGGCGAGACCATGTAGAACCGTTCAACATGTATGTATTATTTCTGCCGCTGTGATCTTACGTATTGGATCGAACACCGTATTGATGACGGCGGGGTATTGCTTGAGGATTATAGTACGGATTCGACAAATGCTTTCTGATGATTCCGAATTTTGATTATTGCGATACTTACTAAGATTGATCCTTTCAGTTCTTGAAGTACCGTATGGATTTTCCGCAATTCCCCCTTGGAGGTTCAGGAGATATTTTGCTTGATGTTTTACTTCGGTGCTGAATTTTCTATTCCTCATTGATAAAGTCTTTTGGACAGCCACACTTAATTCTCTAGGATATTCTATGATAATGCTGATTCCGGTAGGTAGAACTCTCCGTTTTATGTATCTAATCTTTTGAAGAATCCGTTGTAGAATGTCCATATTATTTGTAATCATAACGATCTGTAGGTTTGGTATGTCGTGTATAAAAGAATTACGCGGCTTCCGATCACGTGATAATCCTCCTTTTGAACTTTCGCACATTATTGCTTCATTATCTGTGAGTTTTTGTATAATATGCGCAGGCCAGCGCCTATCTAAAATATCCCCATTAGGTGTGCGACTTCGTTTCTGAAAATCCTCTAACAACAACTCTCTACAGGAACTGTCAATACTGCCTCTATTTTTCAGGATATATGTATAATCCCTTCGGAGACAAGATCCTTAAGCCTATAGTAATTTCAAGTATTTCTGAACATTTGTCAATAATAGCCTAGTATTCCTGAGGCGCACAATTCCAGTAGTGTTATTGGTGGTTGTTATATGTCTATAGCCTCATCCCTCTAAGGACAAATTATAAGCAGGATTATCGTACATCCTGGAAGACGACGTTTCCCTGTTTTATAAGTATGATAAAATCTTCCCTTCCATAATAAGGAGGGAATGACTTTTCTCTATTGATAGGGAACATCTGATACTTACCATGCCCTTATCGTACACAAAGCATAATAATACATAGGTTATCCTAGATATTCCTTCCAAAATTTGGAATTCGATTATTCGATTCTTGCTTTAATTTCTCTGCTTCATGTCATGTTTCTCATCACATTATTCCATAGGGTATATGCTCATATCCTTATATATACTTCTCCTTTTATATCTATACCAGCATGTTTGGATTTATTCCTATATGAATATTTATAAAGATACATGCATGTCCGTGCATAAGTATAGGGACTTATATATTCATATGGATTCATAATTATCGACATAGAACTGCACAGGAGCAGAAAGGGAAGAATTTTGATTTCTCTATTGCCTGTGGAATTTTGAAATACTGAGTTCATTTTGGCGAATAGATTTGTCCTCTGAGTTTTATCTCTATCTTCTGCTTCATCTATATATAGACTGGGGGATATAGGAGTTCATCACACTTAGGTATGT